TTCACAGCTGTGCTCGTAATTGTTCAAATTCATGAACTAACTTCCCCTAAACAAACTTTGTTAATTTATAACGTCTAGAAAACATGTAGTTTAATTTAATGGTGGCTTTAGTAGAAAATTTACCCGTTCACAGTTTAGCGAATTCCGGTTTTTATTGAAGTATTAAACAGATTTTTTACAAGAACCTTGTCCGCTTGACACCCGACTTTAATATATGAATTTGTCTGATGCTTTGTAACCGCTTCTCAATTAAAACTAGTCGGCAAATTTTTGTCAGTGAAAATTTCCTGCAAAGTTCAAGTAATTAGAGTTAATAAAATTTTCATCCGCTTTGGGATGCGTATATTAACGTTTTTTTACCTGTTTGCGTTTGTAAGCTTTAGTTTATTCCACCGAGGATTATTTTATTATGTAACGAAATATTTGTGGGACTTTGTAGTTTCTAATTGAACAAGATTTATTTTTTTTTTTAAATTTTCGGGGATCTGCAATCGCTTTTCAGCACATCATTTCGTGAGAAAACTTATCGCAAAAATTGAAGGTTAAAAAATACTACATTTATAGGTTTTCAAAGAACTCTAAAATGTCCTTAGAAATACTCTTCAAAGGGTCCGAAATATCCTTCAAAGGGCTCGAAAATATCCTTAGAAAATTTTATTCATAGAAATATTCTTAGTTTATTCATTAATGCTCTTATCCTTACTCTATTCAATAATATCCTTAGTCTATTATTGTACTTGTATAAAATAGCCTTGTTCTGTTCATTATTTGTAAAGTTATTTCAAATTTAGCGAAAATCTTTGAATATGCATTATTTTGCCTTTTTTAATCAAGTTTCTTGCATCGAAAAAATGTTTTTTTTATCAAAAAACGATAAGAACTTCTTATAGGCTATTGATTATGCCTTAAGAGGCAGGGTACTAAGGAACTACAACGTTGATGGGTTTTATTGCATGAATCGTTCAAATGGTTATTCAGAAAGAAAAAACCGCAGAGTGCTATTAAATTAGAGGGTGGAAATTGGAGATAGGGGTGAAAATGCTACCCTTACGGTTTTTTGAGTATATCTCGAAAACGAAGCAAAATTTGAGGGTATTGCATAGGAAAAATTTTGTAGATAATGAGATTTTCTATCGAAATAGCTTATTTAATTTAAAAAATTATTTACTGTAGAATATATTAAAAAGCAAAAATTTTGAATTTCTTTTTTAGTTGGATTTCTTATGATTTCTTAAATGTTTTTGACTTTCAGATCCTGAAACTACAAACTCTAAGCTACAATTTGCTCTATTTTTATTGCTCTACGACCATTTTTCGCGTACTTACAACCTTTTGAAAATCACTTAAAAATTTAGGACTTGCGTATTAAGTCAATATTCAATTGCTATAAATAATATCAAGTATTTGTAGGTATTAATTCTGCAAAACCTATTTTTATCCAAATACACCACATAGTATCGATAGGACTAAAAATTTGTTCACCTTGCGTCAATATTAAAATTGTCAGATTTCGTTTTTGATGTCCATCACAATACAGCTTTGTATTCAATAATTGATTTGAATTCATTTTGTACGGGGCTTCAGCAAATCACAAAAGCTTGGTACAACCTAAAAAAATAACGATGTGACACATATGGTATAGTAATTACTTTTGTTATTAAGTATATTGTTCCGCTTTGTGAATGAAAACCATTTTTCACTCTAGACACGGGCGACAAATAATACTTTATAATCACAATAACCAAATGAGTATTCGTATTTTCATTAGAACTTCACAACTCATTTCAACTGGCTTGTTTAACACACTGCTTATTAGTTACGTTCTCGATCTGTCTCATGCCACTCTTTCAACTTATTTTGGTTGACTTTAGATCAGGGATGCACATACCGCGGCCCGCGGGCCGCATGCAGCCCGCTGTCGATGTTTATGCGGCCCGCCAACGAATTTTAAAAGTAATCTACTCGCCGCGCTCCGGTCCAAGCATATTATTACGAGGCTAGAAATCTGTCGCATCAACTAGATTACAGATTAACGAAACACGTCGATCCCCGAACAAAGTGGATGGTTCTCGATGTTTGGTAACTCATATAAATACGACGCATCGCCGGCAGTTAAGTTTTGATTACGGATAAGCGAACGTTATACTGTTTGAGAACTGTAATCTGTGACGAGTAAATATTTCGTCGTTCGAACTTAGCTTTTACCGACTGTAACATATAATATTAATTTTGATATGGATAAACCAGGCCCCAGTAAGAAACGTAGTCGTAAGGTTGAAGATGAAAATCGACAGTTTCATGATATTGGGACCGAAAAATACTTTTTATTTCATCGCATAACAAAATTGTCTGTTTAATATGCAAGAGTAGTGTTTCTATTCGGAAGGAATATAATGTGAAAAGGCACTATGAAACCCAGCATCCAACTTTTACCAAATTAACTGGCGAAAATCGAACGCAAAGAATTTCCACTTTACAACGGGAACTAATAGGCCAGCAATCTATGTTTACAAAACCAATTCAAGATGCTGAAACAGCCACTGAAGTTAGCTTTGAAATATCTCGAATAATAGCGAAAACTTGTCGGCCTTTTAAAGATGGTGAGTTTGTTAAGCAATGTTTGGATATCGCCGCAAAAAAAATTTGTCCGGAAAATGTAAAGAAGTTTGAAAAAATTCAGTTAAATCGGATGACTGTTCAAAGAAGAATTACCGCATTAGCAGATAATATAGAAGAGCAATTAGCTACGAAATCGAGAAGTTTTGAGTATTTTTCTATAGCGCTCGACGAATCTACAGATATAAGTTCAACTGCTCAACTATTAATATTTTTACGAGGTGTAACGCAAAATTTTGAAGTGAGTGAAGAACTGATTGGTATGAGTTCTTTGACAAGTCAAACCAGGGGAAGTGACATACTCAAAGCTCTTCTAGAAAAATGTTCTATAATGGATTTGGTTTTAACGAAAATATCTGGAATTACAACTGACGGAGCACCTTCAATGGTTGGAAGTACATCTGGGATAGTAACTCTGTTAAAAACATATTTACAAACTAAAAACATAAATACCAAGGAATTAATGCAGTTTCATTGTATTATATATCAAGAGGCCCTCTCTTCAAAATTATTGGGTTTTGAAAATGTTATGAAAGTTGTAGTACTTACCGTAAACTTTATAAAATCACGAGGTCTCAATCACCGACAATTCAAACAATTTCTCGAGGATATTGAAAGCGAATATGGTGATCTCCTGTTTTACACTGAAGTAAGGTGGCTAAGTCGTGGGTTGACACTACAGCGATTTCTTAACTTGATTGAAGAAATCCAACTATTTCGGGCGGAAAAGAAAAACTATGTCCCCGAACTCGACAACCCTGATTGGCAGTGTGACTTAGCGTTTCTTGTAGACATCACAAATCACTTGAATGTCTTAAATACGCGACTCCAAGGCAAAGATCAATTGATTTCGCAGCTATACTCATGTTTCGTCCTTTCAATGCAAATTGAGTCTTTTCAGGACACAAATCAATTCAGCCAATTACGACCATTTTCCGAACTACAAAAAAATTATGGAGAAGTTCAATAAAACTGACGTCAATTTCGCTCATGTTGAAAAAATTGAAATTTTGATACAAGCTTTTGAAAATCGTTTTGTAGACTTCAAAAAAGTTAAACCGCTATTGGACATTTTCAGCAATTCTTTCAACATTTCACCCGAAAATGCGCCGGAATTAATGCAGCTGGAATTAATAGACATGCAAAATGATGATAATTTAAGAAACAAATTTAATGAAGGTAATTTACTCAACTTCTACCGTTGCGTTGATAAAAACGCTTATAAAGAGTTGCGAATAAATGCATTGAAATGCGCAAGCTTATTTGGATCGACGTATATTTGTGAACAAACGTTTTCAGTGATGAAACTTAACAAAACGAAAAACCGAAACCGTCTGGCAAATGAAAATTTGGAAACAATTATACGTGTGGCTACAAGTAATGTGGAGCCAAATATAAAAAAACTTGTTAAAAATAATAAAACATGAAATATTACATGGTAATGATTACATAATTATTACAACAAACATTTTTGAAGGTTATTTTATTTTTATCATTGTATTTCATACTATTTAAAAATAAAAAATTTTGTGTTAATAAATATTGTTTGTAGTGGCCCGTCCTTGGCTTATATTTTTCCCGAGTGGTCCCTGTTCCCTATAAGTCTGTGCAATCCCTGCTTTAGTTCAACGTAAAGGAAGTTTTCTATTCAGCTATATAAAAATGTATAGTCTTCCATTTATTTCAACCTGTTTGCGATATTCACTTGTTTAATCTGACCCTTCGGCAAAATGCATGTAACTTATGTGCCATTTCTTTTCTAACCTTATACACTTTTCCGGAACTGTTTAGTATTAAGTTTATAGGTAGTATATAGGAAGTATTATTTCATCGAAAATCTACATAGGCAATGTAAATAGGACAAAATGATGGGAGTATATTTTTTTTACTAGATAATCTAGCTATTTTTGTCGTAATACAATAAAAATTAATGATCTTTGCCCAACTGTAGCCATTATTTATTTATTTTTTGTGTGTGAAGTCTGGAAATAACCTCGATTGCTCTTTAACGCCAGAAAATTTTGTTGTATTTTAATAAACACTCACGCCCTTGAATGTCCTCGTAAGAACTTCTTATAAATTGACGTGCATGAAATAAATCTAAGTTTCTTGTATATACAGTCTACACATTATTTCGAAAAAATTAACATGATAATAAAAAAATGCAAGCTTTATACACTACATACTATGTACGGGCCATATTGGGATATAAATGTAGCCACAAAATTGTTTTCAACAAGTTATTTTAAAGTTATACAAATAATGTTTTTTTTTTTCATTGACAACCAGAATATTTAATAAACCTAGAGAAAATGTAATAATATTTATTTACAAAAATATATTTCAGGTACTACAAATTGTAACATAATAAATACGCCTTGAGATAGTATTAATAAGTATAATATAAAACAGACAAATTATTACATATAAAAAAATGCGTGTAAGATCTATTCATAAGATTTCAACAGTGACAATGGTCCAGCCTTTGTTCATACAGAGATATTTTTTCCTGGAGTGTGATTTCTTGCAGCTCGCTTAGATCGAACTCTAGCCACTTTTTATAGATAAAATAGTGTTGAATGATGAAAGCGGTGTGCTGAAGAGAAATAGCGCAGGCCATCCAAAATAAGACATCAGTCGGGATATTCGCCCAATTTTCTGCAAAATATACAACTGCTTAGTAAAAACAAATGCACGCACGAGGGTTACATAAATTGTTATTCGTCATTTTGAAGCCTTTTCAGCGTTAAGCTGCTTTTAATAATGACTTTGCAGTATACAATTCTTGGCCCAACTTCAGTACTTCGAAATAACGAAATAACAAAACAAAATTGTCAAAGTTGTGTCAACATTATGTTCCTTGATGCCTCCTTGGATAAAAACCTTAATTACGTTATCATAAAAGTCGGATTAAAAAAGTTTTTGAAGGTCCATGACATTATAGAAAACGAAATTGTAACAAATAACTTGATCTATATCGTTCATTTTCATCCAAAGAAACAGCGGCTCTTTTCTAAGCGGATTGACTTTGAAACGTTCAGGTGTGTTTTTCTAAAAATGGTGCGATGTCAGCAAGGGGACTTTTTAAAATATTTTATATTATGTTGTAAATGTGTATCTAGAGATATTTTAGAGAATAGTATAAATAATCAAAATTCTGATATGTAAGTAAGGGTTTAGACTTACAATTAGACCCTTTCCTTAAAATGATACAAACGATGTTTAAAATTTGAACATGAATTGAACATTCAACATTTCAAAAAAATATTCCTAGATTTTACAGGCTCGGCTTAGATTTAGGTACTTACCATAATTATATGAAGTTAAGAATATACCAATGATGAGAAAAATGCACCCGATTAACTCCAAATTGGAAGTCCAAATGCTCCATCCAAATGTGCTTTTAATAACATAATTTTTATATAACTGAAATGCAAATTCGTTTTGATTAGAAAAGAAACAGTTGTTGAGTGTACATATCAACTATTGGTGATAAATAATTATTTTCACAGAGAATAAATATTCCTAGAAATAAAATTTTAAATACCAAATAAATTCCAGGTTATTCTCCATGGACCCAGGTATATCTACAAATAAAACTAGTGCATAACACCATTTTATGGTGTATAAAAATGTCAGGGTACGTAAATTCAGTTCTATATTTATACGTTTGGAAATGGCGTGGATAATAATTTTTAATATAAAATAATAAGTAAAGCTTAGCATTGTTTTATAGATACTTCGGGTATTTTTCACATATAAAATAAATAAAGCTTCCAATTCAAATCAAATTTTGATTACGTGCTAGTCCATAATAATGCAATTATTTGAAAATAAATAATTTCCTAGGAATATCTGAGAATTGGTTAAAATAAATTTGTGAAACCAGATGGTACTGATGTCGTATTTTCCACATTATCAAGAACTGTAAATACATCTATATAAAAAGTCTTTTTTATTTTTTCCTAACTTTTTTTTGTCCTATAAAAGTTTTTTTATATGTATTTTAGGGTGACCCAAAAAAACGAATATTTTTTTCGTCTTTTGTGAAAATATGTTAGTTTATCATGTTTTAAGAGCCTCCTCAAATAATCAGCTCAAAAACATTTTTTTTAGGTTGCTCAAGATTTTTAAAAATTTCCAAAATCGTCAAAAATTTAATTTAAAAAAAAAATTATCGTTATTTTATCATTTTCTAGGTTGAAAAAAATCTCGATTCTGAAAATTTCAAATCGATATTTTAATTTCTAAAGGTCACTCATAATTATTTTAACTTTAAAAGTAGTGTACCTAAAATGTTTTCGAGCGACGTCTAAAAATAAATATCAACGAACTAATAATTTTTTTTATTGAATTTGATGAACAAAAGAATAGAAATAAAGACACTTAAAAAATTTCTCGAGACAAAATTTACTACCGGACTGTGTGTGAAAATTTAAGCGTTTCGTGATGTATTTCTATTCTTTTGTTCATCAAATTCAATAAAAAAATTATTAGTTGGTTGATATTTATTTTTAGAGGGCGCTCGAAAACATAGGTAGGTACCTACACTATTTTGAAAGTTAAAATAATTATGAGTGACCTTTAGAAATTAAAATATCGATTTGAAATTTTCAGAATCGATATTTTTTTCAACCTAGAAAATGATAAAATAACGAGAAAAAAAATTTAAAAAAATTCAATTTTTGACGATTTTGAAAATTTTCTCTACAAAAATCTTTTAGAGCTGATTTTTTGAGGGGGCTTTTAAAACATGATAAACTAACATATTTTCAAGAGACACGAAAAAAAAATATTCGTTTTTTTTTTGGGCCACCCTAATATATTTAATAATAACACCTTAACTTTTTTGTTTTTTCTTTACTTTATGCATTTTTTATATTTAAAAATAATTTAATTTTGCAATCAACTCAGTCTGCTACTTATACTCCAGGGTAGAAATTATAGATAGTGATTCATCGCTAACTTTTGGACTAGTAAGGGGGATGAAGCGTGCCGGGAACGAAAATCCATTGGCGTGTCTGCGTAAAAGGCAACAAGATATAGAAAATAATAAAAAAGATAATAAAACATAACATCTAATATTTTTTACGGTTTGCTATAACAGGCACTTTGATCCATTTTAATTATTACAGCATTTTAAAAAGTCCCAATTGTGTTTTTTTTAATTTATAAATTTATTATAGCCAAGGAATTAGACCCCTCGTCTACGCTTATGCTATGACGATTCTCAGGACGGGTTAAATCAAGTCCGTTTACACCCACTAAAAAAGCATTTCCGTATTCCCTACAAAGTGCAAAAGACAGAGATAGAATATAGATCGATGTTCAGTGTAACTCGGTCTCTAGACGATTATAGATTATATCGATGTGCTTACCGAGCGGCACAAATATAAATAATATTGAACCGTATAAAAATCATTTTATATTTTATACGCATTATGGTAATAGTGTTTTTATATTATGTCTTAGTCACTCTTTATAATTTCGACCGCGGAGTATAGCTTAAAATCGTACCTGCGGCATATATTTCGTGATTGCCGATGCAATGTGGATATAATAGCAGATATACAGGAAATCTCTGTAATGCATAACATTAAATTTGGCAAGTAGAAGTCCAAATGTGAAAATGATTCCATAAAAACTAATCAGTTCCTTCCCGACCACACTAACTCTTTTATCGATTCCATGGTACTTAATCGCTTGAAGTCCCAGAAGAGTAGAGATGACTAGACCATGTAGCGCATACATTATTTCAGTCAAAGTTACCGAAAAATCTTCTTGTAGATTCCCTTCACTGTGGGGTGCCTAAAATTTAATGCAAAGTGTTTATAAATGGTCTCTATTTTACGCATTACTGGATAGGGAGTTAGTTCAATTTTTTTGGCCGATTTAGTCGATTATACAGTAAAGAAAAACCTAAACCAAATTTAAATCTGAATCAAACATCTCGAGGGAAAAGTTTTTAGACATGATTTGACTCAACTTACTATTTTTTAAAGTAAGGCAAACATATAACACTATATATTCTGACGTGAGTGATTATTAATTTCTATTTCTAGTTTTTTAACATCTATTTTATGTCAATATATTCCCATTATTGTAATAATCAAAATTTATACCAAATTAATAAAAATGAAAAACAGTTATTTGAGAATTATCACCGAAATGTTACATTTGTTTATTGAACTGAGAACAAAGTGGACTGCGAAATTCAATTTTAAATTAATATATCAAACGATATAAATTCAGTTTCAAACATGACAAACAAAAAACCGTATATGTGTTACAGTTTTATATGTAGCAAAAGAATTAACTTTGAAGCTAGTTCCAAAGGAATATTATATTTGTAGCTAATTTTTATTTTCATCAATTTCAAAAATGATATCTGGCGTACATAAAATGCATTGAAACATTTTATTCTGGTGTAATTATGAGACATTATGCTTGTCGAGTGAAAACATAGGTAAAATTGAATATGTAAGAAAATTATTTACCACTTTATTGTATGTGAAAGTTGTATAAATTCCGTAAGAAAGGTAACCAATGAAATTGAAACAGACGTAGTCCATGTCAAGTCCAACTACACTGCAAAAGAAAATTTAAGTTTACATTGTTAATGGCTAGAAATAAAGAAAAACTGACCTTAGCCGAAGAAACTGCAAAAATATCTGTGGATATACCGATAATATGCTGAATATGTAGTAATATTTCCGGCACCAATCAGCATAGGGCTCTAAACCTCTCATCTTCACTACATCTACGTCTATGTGTAAGTCTTTTCCTTTGTCTCTAAAAAAAAATTGCAACAGATATTAAATTACTGAATTTGTTCCATATACTTATGATTAAACTGGTGTAAGAATTGGTAATCTGTCTCTAATATGCTGAACGGAGGTTTGCTTTTATTTCTACTAATAATAAATTATTATAAATGTCTTTAATAATGCATTGCAGATATGACAGAATTTAACAATTGGATTTAGTTAAATTACAAACGTCAAATAATAAAATCCAATTAAAGATTCATTATCGGTACTACTCGTATGTTTTATTTAAAATTAATTATTTAAATATTATTACATTTCTGCCCGTTATGGTAATAAAGCAAAAAAATAATTAAATTCATTATTTAAAATAGGGTTCTGTGAAATATAATGAATATTAGTATTTGTTTTTCATTTTTACAATGTGCAAATGTACCAATAGTCCAATTCAGTACAGTATTCATTTCATTAAAATAATTACAAAAGCTTTTTAGGAATTGAAATAAATTTGGTAATATACTGAAAAATTATATAATTTGTTGAAAGCTGTATTTATGAACTAAACTTATGCTGCGGTGATTTTCATATAGAAATTATAGATTGCTTCATTGCCTTTTTTCAAAAACATGTCATTAATCTAAAGGAGTAAGCTCGCTAGGGGAGTTAGGTAAATAATCTTACCTTAAGGAGCTGTTTCCAAAATTAAATTGAATTCTTGATGTACCTGGCTTAATAGCGTATACGTGAAACATATGGCACCAGCTAGAGAAATTCTTGGTATGTATTTCGACAATCTTTGGAGAGACTCTGATGTCACTAGTATGATTAAGTTCCATTGTTACACTGGTTATGTATACAGATTCCTTAGTCCTAAAAATGATTAAGAATATTTTTTATTATTAATTTATTTATAACAGAACATACTATGATCCTTCTAAATGTGACATGATGAAAATTTAATTTATAATGCGTCAAAAATAGTTTAACACAAGTAGAAACAAGGAGGTTCTAAATATTGATTTTTGATCTAAAACTTGACTAATATTATGTAGCTTGTTACTACCCATATTGTTTTATATTCAATTCTGAAAATAACTAAAGTTATACTTACTCAACATGTACCGTAAAGTTGGACCATTTATTGATCTCCATTTTGAGATTTCGTTCCGATAAACTAACATCGTAACAGCTTACAATGCCTGCAACTGAATAATAACGTTTTGAAACTTCTCAAATAACGTCTTAAAATCTTTTTAACTTAAACAGAAAACCTGTTTCATGTACAAAGTAATCTGTAATGAGTTTAATAAAAAGAATTGTAAGTACAGTATACAGGGTGTTTCATAATGATGTGCAAATATTTTAAGGTGTTTAGAAAGTAATTTTAGGGGGGTACTTCCTATGTATTTTTTTGATTTGAGCCTCCTTGAGAAAATATTCAAATCTCAAAATGGCCTGAAAAATTAGTTTTTTTTTCCCGAAAACGGTTGTACTTAGACATTTGAATTTTGGTACACGTTAACAACTAGTTGAATGGTATTTTTTGGTGGTCTTTTTTTCTGGTTTATGTCTTTGAATGAAAGAAATTAGCACCCCTTGAATGAATGAATGAATGAATGAATTTATTGGGTACACCAGGAATTAAACTGTACAATACAAATATATCACAATATCACCTTGGTTTTATTTCTCTCACAACTTTTTTCTAGGTTAGCCAATTCCAACAAGAAATAGCTTTTAATACTACAATTCATTTAGAAACTTTTTTTACTTTTCCCATTTTTTCACATACTTAATGGTTTACGAGCGAAAATATAAATTATTTTTCCTTGTCGATTAGATACACATAATTAATATAACAATTACCAAAAACGATAGTCATTTTTGAGGCATTTTTTGCAAAATTTTTTTTTTATCAATAGGAAAAGCTAAACGAATATGAACTAAAAATTTTATAAAAAAATATGAAAGCTAATTTTTTTTGGCCAAAAATTGTATTAGAAGTAACCCCCTAAAATTACTTTTTAAACACCTTCAAAATATTCTCACATCATTATGAAACACCCTGTATAGGTGCATATATTTTATATATACCCAATCTATTATTTACTGTGTTTCATTAATATTGCAAAAAACTTTAAAAAAACTTTGTTGAAATGTAAAGAAGGTACAAAAGCGACCGCTATCGAGAATGCAAATTGATGGTATGTCACTTTAACTAATAAAGGGTTTTTCTCCATTTTTAGTAATCTACGTAAGGATTTGAAAATTGCATCTCTTGAAGTATTTTTTCTTGTAGGTATCTTGTTACGGAATTGAAAAATATTTGCTAATCAAAAATTGCCAGATTTGGCTCACTTGGGAACTTTACTGCCTCTTGCGTTTTTTCAATGTACTTTAATAAAAAAATAAAGTAGATTGCAAAAAAGAAACAAACAAACCATAGCCAGTATCACTTTTTTGTTTACTTCATTTTTTTCTTATTTCAAATCATTGTTTATACAAGATTTAAGAATAATTTCTTGCTATCAAAGGTTGTTATTATCCTACGATGACACAAATAATGAAATGTGCGATTTACACTTCATTTTTTATTTTGTTAACGCGCGTTACTCCGCATCATACGATGTTTAGTCGTTTACATCAGCGTTTGGAAATTTCGTTCTGCTGAAAATAGGCATCCCTAAACAGTTATTCCTCAATTGAAAGAACAGGTGGTTAATGAAATGGAAGATATATCCACAGCAAGTACTAGGCAGATTCCAACCATTCTTTACCGATAGTGTTGTCATCAAGACAAGCTAGATATGGTGTACAAGGTGCAGATATTCCAACAATTCTATTCGTTGTAGAGCATTTTGATTTGCTTTCTTCAGTGATTTTTAGAAATACAAACGCTGATCATCTGATTAGCAGTGCAATAACAGAAATGTTCGTTTTTAGAGTAAACGTACTTGGGACTTGAGAAGTAGGAAGTATGTGTATTAAGGTTAACGTATGTTTACAATTAATGTATTAACTGTACATCCTGTACATATACACTTATCTATATTTTTGTATTCTGTTTGTTCAATTTTGTGTTAATAAATTTATACCTATTACCATAATTAGTTGGTCATATATTTTCACGACTTGAACTAATTGAAACAGATTTTTATCTCATCCAATAATAACCATCACGGATTTGATATTTTAAGGGAGCTATGTTTTTTATCTTAGAATAATCCACACTTGATCACTATAATCGATCAAATAAGCCAGAAATAAAAAATCTTTTTAGCCATTTTTATCAGATATGCAATGAAATATCCTTAACTGCGAATAGTAAATTCCAAAGCGTAGTTTGAAATGAAATTCTATGCAGATTTCTGGTGATCCGATTAGATTCTACACAAATAAAATCTGAATCTGAATAAAATCTTTTATACAAATATAAAACAACGCAAATAAAAATAGTTATTCAACATTACAGAAATTCACTTCAAGCCCATGACATCTGAACTAATTTTGTTTTTCGAAAAACATAAGGAACTCCCCAAAATTGTCAAATTTGGGCCTCTCTGTACATAGTTGACAGGTCAAGATGAACACTTTCAATAATACATAATTCACCGGTGAATTCACAAACTTTACCCTCATTATCCAGAATGGGCATATTTCTAAGCGTAAGCAAAATGATTGAAAGATGGTTATGTTTCTCTAAAAACTTTGAATATCAGTAGCATTTCTTAACTAATAAATTATTACAAAATTTTATATATTGTTTTCGAGAGAAATTTAATCATTATTAGTAAATAGTAAGACTTAACTGTAATCCTAAAAATTTCAAACTTGTTTCTTAGAATCTTATAATTTATGATGTCAGCAAAACTAAAAAATACATTTCGCAACCAACTACGTAGATGGATATGGTATTTATGTTGAGATATTTTGCTCCATAACCAATTGAAACCAATTGAAAACTCTCAATTTTTATCAAATATTCTAATCTAATAGTTTTAAGATGCGATATTAATAATATAGTCTTAGCCCTATTATTCCGCTTCTTTTCAGTAAATTTTTAGATATAATGTTTACTGAAGAATAAGTCGCATACTATGTTATGAATTTATTTCTTTTCAAACAATCGTTGCATATATTAAAAGTTGTGAGAATGATTTTTATGAAGTCGTACCTAATAGCATTGTTAACAATTTGAAATGTTTTATTCATATTAAAAATTTGTTCAAGACAGAGAGTCCATATATAGACTTCTGTTTTTTTAAAATGCCATTAAGCTTTATTTTGGCACTGAATTAAGGAGGATCATTCATGTAAATAAATTTTCTAACATCTATCCCTAGATAAGTTAGTTAAAAATAACAAGATCTAATTTTTGCCTCAAGCTTGAAAAAGGGTGAAATAAGTCAAGTCCTATTCATATACTTATAACATTTAGTTTATGCGTATGATTATTTCAAATTATACATAACGAAACTAGGCTGTATCTGTTATAAAACTACAATGGAATAAAAACCTTTTTAACTGTTGCTCTATCTGTCACTTATAATATGCGAGATGTCAGTACATGCAGCTCAAATTGAGAAACACAGTTTATACATAATGGCGAAAACTCAAATATGACTTGAGCAATATATTTGTCAGGTTTGTTTTATGAAAATAGTTTAAAATCAGTAGACTTACGGAAGCAAAAAATAATGAAATATTTTTCACTCGCCGTTATTCTCATAATACACCAAGTAAACACTTTGAACACATTTATTTAACTGAAAACGCGACATAGTTTTCAGAAACAAATTTTAATTTTTCCAGGGATTAAGAGATAGGTAACGCATTGCTATAAATAAATAGATAAAGCTAAGCCGCAGGTTTTTACAAAGGACGTTTCTATTATTAATCAATAACTGTTATCTATTTATTCACGTACTTAACGGTTATCAAAATATGTGCTTAATGCTAAAACATCAAACTGTCTGTAGTAATCCGTTTGTTGATATATTTATTAAGCGTATCTCTTATTGTGCCAGAACCTACTTTTAATGCATACAAATATGGCTATAAATTTTATGTGGTGATTTTCAAATCGATTACGCACGGCATTGTAAACTGTTTTCGCTAAAAAAATTAAAAATAAAAACACAAGCTTCTTTTGTGACGTTAAACAACTAAGACTTTGTAGGTATACGTATAGATACTACTATCTTTAAATTAAAATAGTCAAATGTTGAAAGCGTTAGAATTTTAGAGTTTAAAGGATTATTGGTTAGACAAAACAATTTAAAAAAATACCCTTGTAATAATAGAACCGTAAAAGAGCGAATTTTAAATAGATCAAGAACGTTATATTAAAAAGAATGTTTAAAATTGTATCTGAATAAACAATCATCATCACCATAAATTTGGTACATCAATTGAAACGTTCCTGTAAAAGTTAGTAAAAGTATAGGTGTAAAAGTAAAACAAAACTTAATAATATAACTGTTCGATGTTCATTTTTTTGCATGTATGACACAAACATACTGTGACTTCATACGTAATAACTAACAAAGAAGCACCAAAAATAAGAACACAACTTTAAAATATACAATCATTGGTTGCACAACTCCTTCACCTTAATTTTGTTATTCTTTTGTTTTAAAAAAATCTTTAACTACCTACCTACCAATATACCTACTTAGTTATTATTACATATTGAACATCGTCATCAATTTCATCATAAAACCATCACTTTTATAGTTTTTATAACCATATAGATACTTAATATCGTTTTATTAAACTATGGCTATAATAATAGGTAGTATTTTTTCTTTGTTTAAATTTGGAGCCGAACATTAAAAACATCCTGTATAATAAATTTATTTTAATGTGTCGAGTCTAATTTAATCCGAGTTTTATTTACTAGTCGGGATTATATACGCAAGTTAATGCACGGATGTGAAAAAATATATGGGCCTTAATAAATAAAAATGTGTTCCATAAATTATAATTATTAGAAACATCCATTCATAAATTGTTTAATTTCAAGCCATTGGGCGTAATCGCAAATAAACATTTCATCGATGTGACATCGCCTCTAGAGTAGTTTGCTAAATATTTTTTCAATATATTTCGGTGATCTGTTCGTGCTTATTTTTGACCCGTTTCGTGATATTTCTGTAATTATAAAGTAGAATTTGTTTATTTTTAGTCAGTATTTCGGTTAGCGCATCCCACACGAGCATTTACCTGAATTCGTGGCGCTTTCCAGCTGATTGGGACACGTGCTGTAGGTTTTCGTCTCCTTTCATTGTTCTATAGTTATAACAACAATCTAAATTATTACCTGCTAGAATAGTCAGTCCACCACCAATTGATTTGTATGCTGAGGGTAGCAGGAAAAGCAATTTCAAAGCTAGCAAATTTTTTTCCTAATTAACTCTTTTTTTAATTTTTTGTAGTAGGTAGTTGGTTAAAAATGTTTTAGCACAAAAAGAATAAAATAAAATAATACATCATATTTCTAATCGGTTTCATCACAGTATCGTCTTTTTTATACGTCATTTTTATAAAAATTGTGCTATGTATTTGAAAACTGTAGAATATTTCATTTATTTTACGATATCTCGTCTGAAAAAAGAAATATAGGATTATGTCAATTTTGCTGAAATATAAATGATAAAACAATAAAAGTTATACAACAAGATCATCGAAAAATAATTAAACTCTTCCTGTTTAAATAGAGCTGGACGTTTTGTCCCTTCTGTTTCACCTTCTTTTGTTTCAGTTTCACTCTTTTGCCTTTCCCCTTCAACGATCCGAATCTCTCTTCTTCGGTCTCCAAAAGGAACATCATCCTCTGAAGAATTGATGTCCATTCTTTCATCACCTGTCACATTTGGTCTTCTTCCGAATAAATTTATTCAAAACATTGCCGATGCTCATTAGTAGGCTTTTCAGCGTTTTTTTTTTTTCAGGATTTACAATCAGTTTTAGTGATTTACCTACTCAAATCCTGTGGGTGCTAGAACAAAACTATCAACGGAATCAGATTCGGTGTATCAACATACATATGGATGGCTTAGTGGTCAGTCCACTTTTTTATTTATGTCTATGTTATTAATAGTGCTTTTGTCGATGAAATTGTTTTTTTAACATCCTCTAATATGATGATAGTTAAAATTAGCTTTTATTGGTTAACATTATTATTAGATCTCTGTGGTAATTCCTGATGGTCCATATTGAGATGTTATAATAATAACTATCGACTGGGAAAAAGTTTCACATTATACGAGTATATTTCCCATGTTCTTATTTGCATGAATAGTGTTCTCTGATACTTCCTCATTGGTTAAATTGTTTATGTACCCAATACCACATTCGAATAGGTTGAACAAAATTTATCTGAATAATTAAATTTCACGCAAGAAAGGAACAAACTATGGAATTATTAATTACCAAACCTCGGCCCACACTGTTTGGTTTTGGTTGAGGACCGGAGGGTCAATAAACTTTATTCTTCTCTTTCCAATGACTATCGTTTTTTACACGTTTTCACTTACGAGATCAAAGAACAATTACACTTACTTGTTTCACCGACTTCATAAGGATACGTCCGATTTTTTTTTTTAATTTCAAACCTTATACGTTATAATTGTAATTTAATTAAAATCTCATGAAGAATTAATTTAATTAAATATCCTCAAAGAAGTCAAACGACCAGTTTTAGTCGGGACTGCTGAAAACTAAATAATTATTTTTGCTCATATTGCATGTGGGACCTGGGAAATCTGTTGAGGGAACTGTTAATTTAGTGTGGTACGGAAAGCATAAATTTTTAATTGCATCATTTGTAGCAACCCTTTGTTTCATAATTGGATATAGAACTTTATATCAGTTTACTTTCGTAGAACGGGTTCAGTAACATTCAGTGTCTCCGTGTAGTTAAGAGAGTGGCAATAAAACGATTTGTATAGATTTGAGAAGCCTACGTTCTGGTGGAAAAATAAGCATTTATGGAATGTGAACTAAAAAGGTCATCATAAATATTACGCTATATGCGAATTCTTTTACGTGTTTGGACTCGATGCTAAGGATCAAAGTCGAAAAAATTTTATAAGATTTGTGTTATGCAGGGATTTTATCAACAAGATCAAAGGAATCCAATTAGATCCACATGATCGTGTCCACTGATTGTTAATTTCAGTAGAAAATCTTGTGGATTTAATAGACTGGGTAATAGGGCACCAACTGAAATCTCTTCTCTTTTGAGAATCAGTTTTATAAGCAAACTGAAGAAGCAGCTATGATTAAATACAAAAAACATTATCTAATCTATCCATTGAAAGGCTTCAAAAAGAAAGTCTTGGAATCAGAAACTCTAAAGGTAAAATATTGGTCCAGATATGTTTGATATCTGGTCTCATGGATATTACATAGAAGAATATCTAGAATACTTAGTGGATCAGCATCATCAAGTGGTTGGCGCAAAATAATTCACTTCCATTTCTAAGGGAGAATTTTCAAAAATACTAAGTCAAACTTATAGGTATCTAATTGATGATACTTCGTGAATGGTTAACCTTAAATCTGAGAAATATATGAAAGCCAAAGATAATTTGTTGGACATCGTTTTAATACTTTTCAATAATAGTTAATTTCGTAAAATGGCAACATATATTTTATTCAAATCAAAAAGAAGTTCAATCGTAATTTTTTAGATTCAAGTACATTGGATACCATGCAGCAATGCGAATCTGTTGTAGAAAAGTTTTGTTCAAAATCTTTCTTTTGGTACAGGTTCTCTTTGTTTAAGACAAAAATTTCAGATCTGTGTTAAAATGTTTAGAAGGTTCATGTTTAAGGTTGAAGACGCAACCAAAAATTTTAAGTGAATCAATTTCTGTAGGTTCAAGAATAAACAATCCGGACTACAAACAAAATTTTAGTAGTGCAGCGATATATTTTACTGCATAACAAATATACAACGGTGTAATTGTAATGACTTCATAAATTCTATATTTGGAAATGATTTCATGAATCAGTAGCGGAAGAAGAATATAATAAAACGTAATGAATAGACCTCTAAATTATTATCAAGCGGATCAGCTAGCGACTGATTTTATTAATCAAACAAAATAGTAATAGATAAATGGTACACGTGTTTGTGGAAGAAATGGGTTTTTAGCAGTTTAATTTCGTTTATTGATGGTACTATCGAGTTCATAGTTCAACAATTGAATAGGTACCGACTGCCCTGATCAGTACGGTACTTAGATATTGAAGTAATTAAATATGAACTACCTACCTGTTTGACAATTTTTCCCTGTCTTTTCCTATGATTTTCCTGGCTTAAGGACTACGTTATTTATCCATACATTAATAAATCAGTTAAAAATACTTTAAATTTTAATATTTGATTTCTTTGAACAAACCAGGAACTATCCATCATTCCGACACAATTATTCATACGCCCACAACCTGCAGAGCATGAAGTTTCACACTCAATGGTTTTTAATCTTTTTAATAATTAAACTGATAGTTGCAGCAAACCTGAATTGCATATAATAAATATTTTCCCAACATGTCAAACGTAATGTGAGTACGCCAGACAATTTATCATTTATTAATAAGAATTTAGTTTCCTCATGTGTATACCGAAAAACTATAAATTTTCTATATTGACAGGTAGAGTCCCCCGTTTTCCAGTCAACGCATTAATTTTTATTGTCCGGTCCCTTTATTGTGGCATTTACATAGGTGCCTGTTTTATGGTTTCTATAAACGCGCTGTGATTACTAA